TATCTCAAATTAACCACCAAAAAGCCAGAAGTGAAGCTGTGGCTCAAGTGGTAGAGTATTAGCCTTGATCACAAAAACTCAGAGACTGGGGGCTGGGAAGGTGGCTCAGTGGTAGAGTGCTTGCCTTGCATGCTCAAGGCCCTGGGTTTGATTCCTCAGCACCACATAAGCAAAAAGAAAAAAGCCAGAAGTGGCGCTGTGGCTCAAGTGGTAAAGCACTAGCCTTGAGCTGAAGAGCTGAAGGACAGTGCCCAGGCCCAGAATTCAGTCCCCACGACCGGACCCCAAAAAAAAAAAAAAACCTCAGAGACTGTGCCCAGGCCCTGAGTTCAAGCCCCAGAACAGGCATTAAGAAAAAGGAACATAGTTTTGCTGTGACATTTATAAGAGTATAATTTTGAAATTTAGATCTGTGCAAGCTTGGGGGTAATGAAGAGAGATGTCAGGGCCTCAAATATGATAGGCCCCAATGCACCATATTCTTGGCCTGAGATAAGAGTCTACAAGATATTCTTAAAGCTCTTCCTCTTAACCTGCAGATGAAAAACATTAGTGACTACATAGTTGTGCTTGAAACCATGGAGGAGAGGAATTGAGAGCACAGAAACAATGAGGTCCCCCCAACCCCAACAAGAAGTTGATGAGAGGTCATGGGAGCAGCAAAGATCCAGGTAACACAAGGCTTGCATGGAAATGCTACCAAGTTTCAGGGCTCAGGTGGAGAATTCTAAGTCGAAAATTTAGTGGTAGAATGGAGAAGTTCCAGGCACCTGAAGAAGGTCACTGCCACTTCAATGTGGGGGTGGGGAATGTAGAATATCTGTTATAGTCTGTTACAGGCAAACCATTTGCACATGTGTACAAAGAGGTCCATGAAGAATATCTTGGCAGCTCCGCTTGTACCAGTAGGGTACTGCCAACAATTGAAATGTCCATCAGTGGGAGAATAACTAAAGAACCATAGCATATTTGTTCAGCAGCACACTCTACAGAAATTAAACTGAGGAATAAGGTTTTTTTTTTTTTTTTGCCAGTCCTGGGGTTTGAACTCAGGGCCTGGGCTCTGTCCCTGAGCTCAAGATTACTGCTCTACCACTTGAGCCACAGCACCACTTCCAACTTTTTCTGAGTAGTTCATTGGAGATAAGAGTCTCACAGACTTTCCTGTCTGGGTTGGCTCCACATTGTGATCCTCAGATCTCAGGCTCCTGAATAGCTAGGATTATAGGCCTGAGCCACCCCGAAGGTCATGGGTTAGTGTTAAGCTAATTTTATTTTTAATGCAATTATCTATGTATTATTGGTTGAATGGGTCTGAGTAAGGATCAGGTTCTTTCACCTCTAGATGTGCTGGCCTTTATGTAGATGGTAGATTTGCTAATCTAGATCTGGCCAATGGATGTGCTGTGTAGACTTGCAGCTCACCAGTCCATGCACAATAGGGATCAATGACCTTCCTTTCCCTCTCCCCCATAGTCTTTGCCAGAGGCCAAACTCTGAGGAAAGAAGAGGGTCTGCCATAAGTGTGCTGTGGATGGGTGGCAGTGGCATATACTCCTGTCTAAGCAGATTTCCAGCACTCTGTCAAGTCCAAGTATCTATGGGGAAAGCCTCCTTTTATGATATAGAGAAAAATGGTGGGGTTAGATTTCAGGGAAACAATGAGCTTTCTAGTTTCTAATCTGTTCTGCGACCTTTCTGGAGAGATCTTACATATAACACCTAGAAAAAAGGAGTGAAATCCCTTGGTCCAGTTTAGCAATTAAAAACTGAAAACATGCTGTGCACCAGTGGCTCACACCTGTAATCCTAGCTACTCAGTAGGTTGAGATCTGAGGATTGCGGCTCAAAGCCAGCCCAGGCAGGAAAGTCCCTGAGACTCTCATCTCTAATAAACCACCAGAAAATCGGAAGTGATGCTGTGGCTCACGTGATAGAGCACTAGCCTTGAGCACAAAGAGGCTCAGGGACAGTGCCCAGACCTGAGTTCAAGTCCACAACCAACAACAACAACAAAAAATTGAAAACACCAGCAGAGTGCCTTCTTAGATCAATGTATTCTTTTTTTTTTTTTTTTTGGGTCCGGTCGTGGGGCCTGAGCTCTTCAGCTCAAGGCTAGCGCTCTACCACTTGAGCCACAACGCCACTTCCAGCTTTTTTTCTTTTTGCTTATGTGGGGCTGAGGAATTGAACCCAGGGCCTCAGGCATGCAAGGCAAGCACTCTACCACTGAGCCACCTTCCCAGCCCCCTAGATCAATGTTTTCTAATTAGTGGACATAATGTACGTATTTTGTTACTTAAAACTCCTTTATTTTAAATAAATGGCTTATCTATCTTTCTGTTTGACAAACTGAAAATGCCTAGGTTCAAACCCTAGCTGAGGGACTTAAAAAAGACATCCTTCCTCCCCTTGCAGAAGGGGGGATCATGTTGGAGCTCTGTCTCACAGGACTTGGGAAGGAATCATCACCCTGACAGTTACTGGCCTTGTGGTTACTGCTTTTCTCCAGGCTGGAAGAAAAAGGTTCACAGCACACATCAATTGTTTCTGCTCTTCTGCATCCCTTCTGCCTTTTTTTTTGGCAGCAACAGTAATTTTTTTTTAAGTAATCCACTTGTCTCCCTTTTATGTGAAGTACCAACTAGCAGACTGGAAATAAAGACTAAGCAAAGTCAAATTCTCTTTCTCTTTTAGGACTTTAAAACTTCAGAAGAGAACCCCAGCGCTGGCAATTCATTCCTGTAATCCTAGAAACTCAAGAGGCTGAGCTCTGAGGCTTATTGTTTGAGGCCAGCCGGAACAGAAAAGTCTATGAGACTATCTCTAACCAGCAGCACAAAGCCAAAGTGGAGCCCTGCAGCTCAAGTGGCAGAGCACCAGCCTTGAGTGAAGAAGCAAAGTGAAGATGCAAGGCCCTGAGTTTAGTACTGACACATGCACTAGTGAACACAGACACCGACACACAGACAGACAGACAGACAGACAGACAGACAGACACACACACCCCACACACAAGGAAATTGATCAAGGATGAGTATGAAGATTAAGAATAGATAAAGAGTGCTAATTTGTGTTGAGGTACAGGAACGTAGAAAGGGCCACATTGGATGGATTCCCTATGTTAGGGAGCACAGGTGAAGTCTACAGGAGTTGAAGGATAATATCACTAGGCTCTGGGCACAATAAGTAAAATAATGCTGAGGGTTCAACAGAGAACAGAGTGTATGGAGGAACTGAAGCTTGAGCTACTACTGGAAAGGACGAGTGAGGCCTGCAAGTTTAAGAGGCTGCTCGATTACAGTTCAGACTCAAACATCACAAAGTTTCAGGTAAAAGTTCAGGTTTCCAGGCATGGTGGTGCACATCTGTAATTCTTCCAGCACTTGAGAGGTGGAGAAAATAGGATTGAAAAGTCCTAGGTCAAACTGGGCTATATATGGAGACCTTGTCTAAACAAATAAAAGAAAGTATAAGGCATGCAGTGTAGATGATGATGTGGATTAAGCACATTGATGTCAGGTTCATCCATATGGCCACTGTATATGTCTATGATGGTAGATGAGATGCAAATTTGTGTAAGTTTGGAAATGGGCTCAACTCAGTTTTCACAATCAAAAGCAAGTTCTTAATCTTTCTCCCCTGTTCCCCCTCCTTTCTTGTTTTGTTCTGGGAGCCTGAACTCACCATTAAGATTTAGGTGTGAGCCACCAGCACCCAGCTGTTGTCTGCCTGCCAGCCCCCCTCTCCCTCTTCCCCGCCTCTCTCATTCTCCCTCTCTTTTCCCTTCCCTCCTCTCTCCACCTTTCTTTCTCTTTCTTTCCTTTTTTCTTGTGCCTGTCCTGGGGATTGAACTTAGGGCCCGGGCACTATACCTGAGCTTTTTTGCAGGCTAGTGCTCTACTACTTGAGCCACAGTTCCATTTCAACCTTTCCTGGTAGTTACTTGGAGATAAGAGTCTCATGAACTTTCTTGTCTGGTTTGCTTCAGATGTCAGCCTCTTGAATAGCTGAGATTACAGGCATGAGTAATCAGCACCTAGATGTTGTTTCTTAATGAATGTGAGGGCTGGGAGGATCCTGGTTCTGCTTCTTTACTAGTCGTCTAGCCATAAATAAACCGATCTTTTTCTGTCCCTCAGTTTCCTCACCCACAACATGGAGATAAAAGTCTCAAACTCAGGGGCTGGGAAGGTGGCTCAGTGGTAGAGCGCTTGCCTTGCATGCCTGAGGCCCTGGGTTCGATTCCTCAGCACCACATAAGCAAAAAGAAAAAAGCCGGAAGTGGCGCTGTGGCTCAAGTGGTAGAGCGCTAGCCTTGAGCTGAAGAGCTGAGGGACAGCGCCCAGGCCCAGAGTTCAGGCCCCATGAGCTGAGGGACAGCGCCCAGGCCCAGAGTTCAGGCCCCATGACCGGACCCAAAAAAAAAAAAAGTCTCAAACTCAGAGAGCTATAGTGATAAACTATTACATAGCACGTGCTAAGTACTGAGAATACCATGTCAGTTCCTATTAATGAAAAGCTTAATATACAAATGAATGAAATACTTTAGGAGTAAAGTTATAGAAATATAGAAAACAAGGTGCCTGGGTAAATGGCAAGGTTTAGGGTGCAGACTCTATGCCAGATGGTTGGCTAGCTGCTTTACAAATCCTGCCACATCCTAGCAAGATACATGTCTTCATCTGAGAAATCATAATAGAGTTAAATAAGCTGTTCGGGGCTCACCTAAGTAGAAACAAGTTGGAGTTATTTTAAAAAGTTGGTTTGGCACAAGAGCAACTGGGAAAGGAGCCCTCAAGGCGGGGGACACCACCACAGCCTCAACAAGGGGTAGTGGGGAGCTGGGAGGTCAAGGATGGATTCACACGGTGTTTATTCCTGTCACAAGGCAAAATTTGGCCTTGAAAAATGAGGACAACACCGAGATGTACGTGAGTTGAAACCTAGCAGATCACCAGGCCCAGGAATCCCAGTTGGGTCAGCGTATCTCCACTTACTAAGTAACGTAACTGCCCGATGCTGGCAGGTCTCATTCCGTGGACCCAGTGTCCACGCGTGACTGAGCCGTAAAGCACTCTCACGGCGTCACAGCACTGCGCTCGACCTGCGCTCCGCCCGCGCTCTGCCCCGGCGCCACGTCCCCCGAGGCTCCGCCCCCGCGTCCTCCGAGGCTCCGCCCCCTCGTCCTCCGAGGCTCCGCCCCCGGCGCCGCAGAATGCGGCCAACTACCCGCCAGGGAGCCTCCGCGCGGCTGGCAGTCGGTCACGTGTGGCGCCAGTCACGTGACGCACGCTCACGTGATTGCGGTGAGCTCCCCGTCTCGTTCCGCCTTTCCTGGGCCGCGGGGTAGTCTGCGGGTTGGAGTTACTACTCCGGAGCCCGCCGAACCGTGTGGACGGGATGGTGAGAGTGGAGAGCAAGGCTGCGCTGGGCCAGGGCCGCCGCCGCTGCCGCCGCTCCCAGGCTCATCTCCTTTTCTCTCGTCCTTCTCTCTGCAGATGAACCCGACCACCCCAGACCCGGAGCGGGCGCCGGCCTCCGAGCCCGTGTGGGAGCGGCCCTGGTCGGTTGAGGAGATTCGCAGGAGCAGCCAGAGCTGGTCGCTGGCGGCCGACGCGGGCGTGAGAGGCGGGCTCTGGGGTGACGCGGTCTGCGAGCGGGGCCCGGGCCTATTCCCCTGCCCTCAAGCCCACCCCACGGCTTGCGGTCTTGGGAGTACACATCCCCTCCTCGCCCAGACACCTGGAGGGAGGGGCGGGGGGGGGGCACTGTACCTGCAGCACACAACACAGGGTTCTCAAGCGGTGCCTTGAACCGCATCCTGGAGGGCAGGTCTGTGCCTGCCAGACTGAGGGATGGCTGGGGCACTATTGAGCCCTGGACTAAATATGGTCAGTAAGTGGTTATCCTTGAGTGAGACGATTTCAAGTTTGTGACTCCAAAGCTCGAAGCTTCAATTCCAGGGTCTTATCTGATTTTAGATGTATGCTATCTTACACCTCGTAATTCTTTTTTAATAATACTGTACTTTATTGTTGTTTTCATTGTTATGACTATTATTATTTTTGTCGGTTGTGGGGCTTGAACTCTGGGCCTGGGCTCTGTCCCTTAGCTCTTCAGCTCAAGGCTAGCACTCTACCACTTGAGCCACAACGCCACTCTCGGCTTTTTCTGTTTATGTGCTGAGGAATCAAACCCAGGGCCTCATGGCTGCAAGGCAAGCACTCTACCACTGAGCCACTTGCCAAGCCCCATCTGTAATTCTTGTAGAATGACAACTGAACAGGCCTTAACATTCCCCCATAAATGAGATAGCAAGTGACTGTTTACTTTGTGTGCCTATGTGCTGGTACTGGTGCTTGAACTCAGGGCCCAGGAGCTGCCTTTTACCTTTTTATGATCAAGGCTGGTGCTCTAACACTTGAACCAGAGCCTCAGGGACTTTCCTGCTGGGGCTGGCTTTGACCTGTGATCCTCATATCCCAGCTTTTTGAGTAGCTAGGATTACAGGAATAAATCACCGCACCCAGCTCTATATTACTTTCTGATGAGTTGTCCTACGGTGTTCAGTGCCCCTTGATCTGTCAAAAGCTTCATCCCTTTTAAGTTCTGCCACACACAAGTGAAAGATGGTTTTTTTCTTAGTTTTGACCCATAGAATAAACACATAAAAATACGGATACCATTGTATGTTTTTGTTTTTAGCTACTACAGTTTCTGCAGGAATTCTCACAGCAGACTATCTCCAGGACTCATGAAATCAAGAAACAGGTGGATGGACTAATTCGGGAGACTAAAGCTACAGATTGTCGCCTCCATAATGTCTTTAATGACTTCCTTATGCTGTCTAATACCCAGTTCATTGAGAATGTGAGTCGTGTAGTTACATCATGCTTACAGTTACTTTGGGGGAAGCAAGAGCTGTTACAATAGTAATGACCTATTATGAGGTTAGCCGTTAAATTTTGATGGACATGATAATTATTAACAAGTTTAGTAAAGTTTGTGTTTTTTTAGCCTTATAAAGAAACCTAATGATAAATTTTCCTCATTTCAGCCTTTGTATCTTTTTAGTTTTGAGAGAAAAGAGCTGTGCTGAGTTTTGTGGCATTCAGACAAACTTTGTTATGGCACATTTTGTGATGATGGCCACATAGGAGGTTTGCTCCCTTCACTAGCTTGTTGCTTCAGTTATTAAGTACATTATATTCTGGTAAATTGCATTAAAGTATTGTGTATGTCTACTTGGAATATTCTTAGAAGTTTTCTTACAGTGTGTAAATCTATGATATCGTGTGATTTTTGTAGACATTGAGTTTCTGCTAGAGTATAGAGTATTCTGAGTATTCTGCCAGAATACACAGGCAAATTTATATATAAAATACATATAATATTTTATTGATATAAATTAATTGTTCAGGAGGTTTCATATTTACCTTGATCATAATCATCCCTCCAACATTCTTCCTCCTCTCCCTTTCCCCCTTTCCCAAACCAGTCTCATCAAGTTTCCTTGCTCCATTTTCAGACAGGTATATATTTTATCTGTATTTGCCTTCTTTCCCCTCCCCATTTTCCTGTCCCTCTCCACTAATGTCTATTCCTCAGACAAGCCATATTTCAACTTCCTATTTTTTTGTTAAAGTGCAAGAGTTTCCATTGTAGTGTCTCACACATACTTATAACATGCTTTAATAAATGTGTATATACAGAACACACAGATTCTGTATGTACTATGTATATATTTGTTTTTAGGTATAGTATCCACATACAAGGGATAAATGTGTCCTTTGTTCTTCTGAGCCTGGGTGCATTTAATATGAAGGCCCATCCATTTCCCTGTAAATGACATAACTTTATTTCTTCAATATTCCATTGTGTATATGTACCATATTTTCTTGGCCCATTGATCAGTTTTATGGCATCGAGAGGTGCAGGTGCCTCTATTATATCCCAGCTTGCATTCCTTTAGATTAGTGGCCAAAAGTAATACTGCTGGACTCTATGATAGTATTTTGAGGAACCAACATTTTTTGTTTGTGTTCTTATGACCATCCTAATTGGATTGAGGTGGAATTTCCCTGTCTTTTTTATTTGTATTTCCTTTATGGCCAGGAATATTCAGTGTTTCTTTATATATTTATTGTACAACCTCTACCTTGGTGTAGATAGTATAATTCTATTACAATAGAGTAATTAGCAGGAAGGTAGGCATGCTTGGAACTGAATCAGACAAAGGAAGGCTGTTAAGATAGGAGGATAGAGAAGAAGATTATATAAGCTGACTTGGGTTTCTCAAAGAGCTGATATTCTGAATACCACCCTTAACTTGTGAAAAGGGAATTTTAAAATTAGGCTATCACCTGGGAGTGTTAAGTGTAAGATACAAAGCCCACAATCTGAGATTAGGAGAAAGGCAATAATACCACACAGGAATTTGTGTAGCATGTTTATGCATGCTTTGATGGCTCAGGCTGAAATGCCAAGTCTGTATAGTATTTTGGGGAGGTTTGTGTGGAAGATCTTAATGAAGGTCTTTGAGATCTCTTTGCTAATTATTCTAATGGCAAAGGCATGCTTGTTTGAAATATCACAAATATGCTAAAAAAATCAGTACAGTCCAAAGTATTTGTTATTTGGAATGCTTGGGACCAGAAGTGTTTTTGATTTCAGAGGTTTTTCAGATCTGGAATATTTGCATAGATTTTATAGGTTCAATATCTGTAATCTGAAACACTCCAAACACCACAACTTTTTGATATGGCAGGACCCAAATGTTTTGGATTTTAGATTTCAGATTAGGGCTCCTCAACTCAGTCATTTTCTAATAATATGCACAGGACTTGTTTGACTCTAAGCAGGTGTCTCAGGGAGAGTTCATGTAGGGGACGTGGGTCTAGTTCCCTGGTAAACACATTGTTCAGCTGATCTGGAAGGCTCTTTCTTTTATACCCAATGGTCTCTACCAGTTGGGTATTGGATTGGTACCAAATCAAGTCTATAGTGGTGCAAAGAGGGGTCAGCATAAACTTAATATTTTGAACCATAGTCTTTTTTTTTGGGGGGGGGGGGTAGTTTTTCAGTTTTCTTCCAGCCTTAGTTTTCTTTTTCGCTTTCTTTTTCTTTTTCTTTTGGTCAGTTGTAGGCCTGAACTCTGGGCCTGGGTGCTGTCCCTCAATTCTTCAGCTCAAGGCTACCACTTGAGCCAAAGCACCACTTCCAGCTTTTTATGCTTATATGGTGCTGAGGAATTGAACCCAGGGCCTCAAACATGCAAGGCAAGCACTCTACCACTGAGCCACTTTCCCGGCCTGAGTCTTAGTTTTCATGGTTTAGTTTTTGTGGCATTTACCTTATTTTTGTTTTGGTGATAGCTTACTAGAGTCAATTTATGTGAATTCTTAGTTTTTTGTGTGTACAGTTGATCTTGTCCTCTCCATCATTCTCTATTATCCCATTTCCCCCTCCCACCATAACTTCCATCTGTCTTACTAGTCTATTTTCATAGATGCAAACAAGCCATATCATCCATATTCATGTTCACTTACTCTCTCAGCCCATCTCATCCCACTGGAACCCATTCCGATAATACAGCCTATGTCTCTTTACTGCTATCCTTTGTTTTCTACCTCTCTCCATTCCCTTAATATTTTTAAAATATATGTTTATTATAAAGAAACTGTACAGAGGGGCTACATTAGCAAGGTAATGAATCCATTTCCTATTGAGCATTGTTACCTCCTCCTTTGTTTTTCCCCTACTATCTCCTCCCTCCCTACCTCTCTAACTCCTCCCTCCCCCCCTCCACCAAAGTTGTAAAGTTCATTTTCAACATAGTGTCTTGTACATCTTGTTGTTGCAGTGGGTCATCCTATATCCTTATTTCAGCATTTTGTTCTTTCCCTTTGCCTCCCCAAATTAGAAAAATGTATATACAAGATGCAGGGCACCAGAATCAAATATAGTGAAAACAGAGGTTATACCATGGGGGAAGACCATACAAAAGAAACAAAAAAAAATTACATAGTGCATTATAAGTACACTAAAAACAACAGCAAGAAAGATAAAACCTCTTGTGTCCCTATTTTGGGGTTCATTTCACTTAGCA